GTAGGTAGGTAGGTAGGTAGGTTACGTGTGCATAAAGGTCTCAAATAAGTGTTCGTCTCATGCCGACGCAAACATAGGCCTAGACACAGTCCATCTGTCGATGCGCAGTATTTTGCTTTGCTAATACGTGTCTTTGTTTGTATCTACGAGCGCATGCATGCACATCTGTTCGCGCATGTATACACTCGCAGCTAAAGATAATCCGAGGTTACTTGTGTTTCTCGTGCACTGTGTTTCGCCGTTTTGGGATTGTTGACGTATCCTCACTCATATTGGGAATGTGGTCGTCCAGATTCTTTTAGGGATCGACCTCCTGCTTTGCCTTGCTGGTAGTGTCGCAGCAACTTCGACGGCTTCAGGCGAGAGCCTGAAAAGTTGCTGGGTGAACTCTGCTGTCTGCCTGTTCTTTCTGTTTTGTACTTCTAGACTTTGTCCGTGCTTGCCAAGTTTGCTGAAGTGCGCTTGTTGAGTTCGATCTTCCAAAACATAAGTCGAGGGATTTCTTCAATTTCCAGGTGCCACAGCTCAAACCACTTCGGACACCACTTCCTCTGCTACCTTTCCTATGCCTTCATGTCCGAGCCAAAAGACCCGAAGCCTGCGCAAGGCAACTTGGGCGTGGCCCACATGTCCGCTCTCATGGGCTTCCGCTCCACTGCGCATTTGAGCCATCTCAGGCTCAGAACCGGTGGAATTTCAGGGGTTGTGCCAGGTCAGCTCGCAGAAGCAGCACCGGACAAAGAAAAGCTTACTAGTTACCAGTGCTACTGGAGCTACCAAGATGCTCCCACTAGATAGCGCCGCAGTTCTCATTGCTGCTTGTAGGCCACTGCGAAAACGGGCCTTTGATCGGGGCTGCTACCTGCGGTGGTGGTTGTGGTGCTGGTGTGCGGTGGTGTTGGTGGATTGTGGTGATGGCCAAGCCCAGTCGTAGGTTCGAGTTCCCGCAGAGCAACCAGCAGCCTCAGCAGAGGGTGGCACCCCAGATGCCGCAGCGCTGCAGCAGGGCTTTCAATCCGCTCTTCGTGCTGCATCAGCATTTCAGGGCCCCATTGCCTCGGCCAGGACTGTGAAGACCCTGGAGCAGCTTGGCGCCCACCTGAGCTCTTCGGCCACGGCAGGTCGGGAGGAGATCGCTTATCAGGCCGGCCCCGCGCAGGGGACGGGACGGGACGGGACCCGAAGCGCAGGGAGCCTTGAAACGACCCGTGGATAGGAGCCTTGCAGCGTAGCTTTTTGACACTTTGAACATTTGAACATTTCTGCGAGTGCACCTGCAAGTGTTTGTAGGCGTCAAAATTGTCAGCAAACATGCGAGCAACGCGGAATTATGCGAGCAAATTCCTTGAGACTATCGCTTTTGCCGGCTTTTTCGAGCGGCAGGTGAATTAGAGAGGTAGATCACGCTTCAGTCAGCACGTGTGTGGGTCTCGGTCTCTCACTCTCTCTCTCTTTCTCCCTCCGTCTCTCACTCTACCTATCTCTGTCTCTGTCTTGCTCTCTCCGTCTCTATCTCTTTGTGTGTCAGTGTCCCTCCGTGCATTGGTCTGTTTGCATCGTATAGCCTGCCTGTCTGGAAGTGCATCTTACGGACAGTGCCATAGTCACGGATCATCATCGCAAGACGCAAGACCCATGACCCCCTAAACCCTCTTGTCTGCTCCCCTGTTTCGGGAGAGGTCGAGCTGCAGCGTGAGTACATGCCCCTTGCCGTGCCGCTGATGGTCGGCAACGTGCTTTTCCCACGCCTGCTGCCACTTGGGCTTAGGCTTGGCCCTCCGGTGGCTTCTCACTCGGACCTGAAGGACCCCTTAAAGGATCCCTTTTCGGATTCCTTACAAGGTTTCTTAAAGGATTCCTTGACGGAGCGCTCCTTCAGGGCTCTGCAGAAGCACCATCGGAGGAGGCCGGAGGCCGAACAACGACGAATCTTGTGCCAAAGAGTCGCAGGAGGAGATTACATGGGGGCCTTAATAATTGCCTCTACTAT